GGATTACTTGAGGTCAGGAGTTCGAAACCAGCCTGACCAACATGGTGAAACCCTGTCTCTTCTAAAAATACAGTATTAGCTGGGCGTGGTGGCACATGCCTGTAGTCCCAGCTACTTGGGAGGCTGAGGCAGGAGAATCTCTTGAACCCAGGAGGCAGAGGTTGCAGTGAGCTGAGATTGGGCCACTGCACTCCAGCCAGGGCAACAAGAGCAAAACTCCGTCTCAAAAAAAAAAAAAAAAAAAAGCTATTAAGCCAGCTATAAAAGTTATTTATTTATTTTTCTTTTTGAGAGACAAAGTCTCACTCTGTCGCCCAGGCTGGAGCGCTATGGCGCGATCTCAGCTCACTGCAAACCTCTGCCTTCCGAGTTCAAGCAATTTCCTGCCTCAGCCTCCTGAGTAGCTGGGATTACAGGCGCCTGCCACTAGGCCCAGCTAATTTTTGTATTTTTAGTGGAAGGCAAGCTTTCACCATGTTGGCCAGGCTGGTCTTGAACTCCTGACCTCAGATGATCCACCTGCCTCAGCTTCCCAAAGGCTGGGATTATAGATGTGAGCCACTGCACCCAGTCTAAAAAAAAATTTTAATTTTAGAATTAATCTGTAATTTTTATTTTGCAGTATTTACATGGCAAGGTCAATTATCTCTTAATTATCCATTAAGGATATTTAAACATTTTCATAATTCATGAAAATATACTGTTATTCAGATTTATTCTCTACAGCAGGGAACTATAGCTCCAGTTCTTCCAAAAAGTTGTAAGTGCAGTAACTATATAGTCTGGTTTCTCTGAGATAGTGCTGTTTTTACCTGTTATCCTGATATAATTATTAATTCCCTCTTTCACTCCCCTAGTTCAGACAAAAACTATATGGCTACCCTCTTTATCTCTAAGATGTAAATTTAAAAGACAGAAAGCATGCTACAAAATAACTGGTTTGTGTTCTTAAAAAAAAAGAAAAGAAAAAAGTCAAAAAAGGGACCAGAAGAGTCATGAAACTAATTGTAAAGTAATAAAAAAAAAATGAAAACTAATTGTCATACATGACTCCAGAATGGATCCTGAGGAAAGAAAAAAACTGCTATGAAAGAAATTATGAAAAAAAAAAAAAAAAGAAATTTAAATATAAACGGTGACTTATGAAATAATACTGTATCAAAACTAAATTTCTGGCTGGATGCAGTGGCTTATGTCTATTATTCCCAGCATTTTCAGAGGCTGAGGCAGGAGGAACACTTGAGCTCAGGAGTTCAAGACCAGCCTGGGCAACATAGGCAGATCCCATCTCTACAAAAGGTATTTTAAAAAATTAGCTGGGCATGTTGGTACATGCCTGCAGTCCCAGCTACTCAGGAGGTTGTGGTGGGAGCATCACTTGAGCCCAGGAGGTCAAGGCTGCAGTGAGCTGCAATCATGCTAATATACCTTAGCCTCTGTGACAGAGCAAGACCCCTAATACAAATACTAGCTGAGCATGTTGGCATACGCCTGTATTCCCAGCTACTCAGGAAGCTGAAGCAGGAAAATTGCTTGAACCCAGGAGGCAGAGGATGCAGTGACCCGAGATCAAGATCTCAAAAACCGAAAAAACTAAATTTATTTTTTTTGAGATGGAGTTTTGCTCTTGTTGCCCAGGCTGGAGTACAATGACGCAATCTTGGCTCGCCATAACTTTCGCCTCCCAGGTTCAAGCAATTCTTCTGCCTTGGCCTCCTGAGCAGCTGGGATTACAGGCATGCGTCACCACGCCCGGCTAATTTTGTATTTTTAGTAGAGATGGGTTTCTCCATGTTGGTCAGGTTGGTCTCAAACTCCCAACCTCAGGTGATCCGCCTGCCTCAGCCTCCCAAGTGGTGGGATTACAGGTGTGAGCCACTGCGCCCAGCCTAAATTTCTTCATTATTTAAGAGAATGCTCCTTGTTCTCAAGAAATCCACACTGAGAATTTAGGTATAAAAGGGCACTATGTCCACGAGAAACTTCCAAATGACTCAGAAAATTAGATTCACACATATCTATATATATACATATGTAGTGTATGTATATACACACACACACTATATATATACACACACAGACACTGAGAATCATAATACAAACATGGCAAGACGTTAACATCAGTTAATCTACGTGAACAATATACAAAATGTATACAAAGACCATCTCAAGCGTCTTGAATTATTTCAAAATAAAAAGCTAACAAAATAAATTTAAAAACTGGTAAGGAGAGGAGAAAATGGACCTATTAGAAATCGTAGAAACTGGGCGTAGCACTTCACACCTGCAATCCCAGTACTTTGGGAGGCCAAGGTGGGAGGATGGCCTGAACCCAGGAGTTCGAGACTAGCCTGGCAACATGGCAAGGCACCATCTCTAAAAAATTTTAAAAATTAAAAAAAAAAAAAAAAAAAGACTGGGCACAGTGGCTCACACCTGTAATCCCAGCACTTTGGGAG